TGATGATGATGATGATGATGGTGATGATGATGGTGATGATGATGATGATGATGATGATGATGATGATAGTATTTGGAGATATTCTCGATGATGGTGGTAATAATCAACTTGACTGATAACTTGCGGTCAATTTCTCTTGTAGATCAAGTTAATAAGTAGTGAAGATAAGAACATTGTACCTTGGTATTATTAAAGCCTTCACCGAAGAGGATAATCTCGGCGATCATGCCCGAGTCTGGCACACACATCGAGATAGGTCTGAACATGCTCTTCAAGTTATCAGGTAGCTCGGTACGACCAGCATAACCTAGAAAATATGACCAATATCACTCAAATATACTGCTATATCTTAAAGGGAATATAGAAATATACGGTTATATCTTAATGGTCTACATAGCCTCTGACCTAATAGTCCAAAAAATATATTTCAATTGTATCAATAATCTTAAATTTGGAAGGTATTTGCGAGGCAGGATGACCATCGATTTAATTCTCACAAGTATGAAATATACGAAAGGGTATATAACTGAAGAGTCGGGCAACTATCTTGTATATTCCTAATATGTTACCAAACCATACGTGACAAAAGTGTGTTCTAAAGATGAATGCTGGCTAAATAACATGAAAAAAGACTTGACTGATGATGATACACCAAGGATAGGTTTCGTACCTGGATTCATGGTGATGAAGATGCCACATGACCAGACAAGGTTGATCTCACGTCCTTCAAACACAAAACGGGTTGCCCCAGCTGACAAGGCGGAGAGGATGGACAGGATCTGTTGTGCTACTACAGACAGTACCTCGATGTTGATACGATTGAACTCGTCAAAGCAGCCCCATGCACCGGTCTGGGATTGAAAGTAAAGAAGAAAACAGATGAAACTAGGGTTAAATGAATTAATGAAGAAATAAATAAATAAAGAGACAAGTTACCTCTGGGAACCTTTGCTGAATAGCTCGTTAGAGGTGGTTTGATGAATGCGCAGAAAGCATGAAAAACGAGTTGCTTACTATGTCAGAAGGAAGGAAGGAAGGAAGGAAGGAAGGAACGAACGAACGAAGGATAGAAGGAACGAAGGAAGAAAGGAACAATGGAACGAAGGGAGGGAGGGAGGGAGGAATGTATCAAATGGATCAAAGTATTGCG